TGATGATGACGATGATGATGTATGTTGTCGCTTTGACGACACTTTATTTTGACGAGATTCGGAAACAGTATATGACCACTTTCTTATGAGTTCTAGAAAGAATAGGATGACGATGACGACGACAAATTCGCTATTGTTAACGATACTAATAACGATACCAATAACGATACCGATAACGATACCGATAACGATACTTATAACGATACTTATAACGATACCAATAATGATACTTATAACGATACTAATAACGATACTGATGACGACGACAATAATAATGATGAAATAATAGTTGTTGTGGTAGTAGTTGTTGTAGTTGTAGTAGTTGCTGCTGCTGATATGAATGCAAAGTAGTAGAGTACTTATTGATGAACAGTTTACAAAAGCTGATGTCGTTGTTGATGAGGATGTTGTTGATAATTTTGTTGATGTTGATGTTGATGTTGTTGATGCTGTTGTTGTTGTTGTTGTTGTTGATGTTGATGTTGTTGATTTTGCTGATGTCTTTGGTAATACTGTTCTTGCAGTTGTCGACATTTTCATTATGCTGCAGTACCAACTCCTGTTTGTAATGTTGTTGTTATTGTTGTTGTTGCTTTTGTTGTTGTTATTTTTATTAGTATTGTAATTATTTCCCGCCAAATTCGAAATGGCGGGTTGAATTCGGTTGCTTAGTTACGTCTGCTTATTTCCCGCCTTTTTCGATTTATTAACGTTCGCCGGGAAGATTTTAAATTTGCTCTGATCATCCTGATGACGATGACGACGACGACGATGATGATGATGATTATTATTATTATTATTATTATATTGTTACGTAAGTGATAATACTTTAAAAAGTATTTAAAAATGCCGTCATTAAAAAGCCGATAATCGTGACGTCATTAAAAAAATATACAATAAGAAAAATCAACAAGCCACCAGGATAATAATGTTTTTCGAATGGATTTATCACTCCATAATAATATGGAAAATTATAATAAAAATGTTATTTATTATTATTATAATTATTATTATAATAATTATTATTATTATTACGGTTTATTATTATAATTAATGTAGTTATCTCCTGTTATATAAACGACATAGTATCACCAGCCAATATTCGAAAAGATGTAACAACTTTAAACATACAAGTTTTTATTAATAATATGTTATCATTATTTTTATTGTTGTAGTAGTAGTAGTTGTTGTTGTTGTCGCCGTTGTTGTTGTTGTTGTAGTTGTTGTTATTGTTGTCGTTGTTGTTATTACTACTACTTTTAATATAACTCCTCTTATCAAATATCAAAAATGTCACTTAAGTTATCCAAGAAAATACCTTTAAATGGATGCAAATGCCCATTGGCACAAGCGTACGAACATACATAGATACATACATACATACATACATACAACACATACAAACAAACAAACATACATACATACATACAAAAAATATACATACAAATAAATAGCAGATAAACCCAAACAAAACTCAAACACATTGAATAAACCGCATCATTACTTTGTTCATCATTCAAACCCTTGCACACAATTTATACATACATACAAACATACATACATACATACATACATACATACATACATACATACATACATACATACATACGTACATACATACATATATACATACATACATACATACATACATACATACATACATACATACATACATACATACATACATACATACATACATACATACATACATACATACATACATACATACATACATACGCACATACATATACATACATATACATCATACATACATACATAGATGTATGTTGACCGTTGACCATTTATTTGTACAAGATGGAATTTTTCATATAAGCCAGTTATATGCGTTTAAACATGGTATGTATGTATCTGTGTATGTATGCTGTATAAGTCTGTGTGTGTGCGTGCGTGTGTGTTTGTGTGTTTGTATGTATGAATGTATGTATGTGTCTGTGCGGGTGTTTCTAAATTTTCAATTATATTTTCTCTATCTAGTTTCAACTTTCCCTTCATTTTGAGAACTTCAATTCTGGGTAGAAAAATGACATTTAGAAAATTATTTTGGACAATTACTAATAACTATAATAATAATAGTTATTATTTTCACAATCTTCATTATTATAATTATTAACATTTTTTTCATCATTATTATTATTATTATGAAAATTTTATTTGCAAAAATTAGTTTTTACCATTGAATTAATTTCAAATTCATTCTTATTTGGACGCCTGGATATTATTGTTATTACTATTTTTTGCAGTGACAGCAATAGTAGTAGTAGTAGCTGTAGTAGTAATAGTAGTAGTAGCTGTAGCTTTAGTAGTAGGAAGAGTAGTAGTAGTATAGTAATGGTAGTATTAGTTGTTTATTAGTAGCAGAAGTAAAAGTAGAGGCATCAAATTATTTACCTATACAATATGTAAATCTCTTCTTGTCTTTCTGTATCTCTCTCTCCCTTTTTCTCTCTCTTTCTTTTTCTCTCTCTTACTCTTCGTATATATGTACACATTAACACACACACACGCACACGCACGTGTATATACACATACATTTATATTAATCCAACAAACAAACACATCACATTTCAAATACCAGCCAACCCACTAAACAATGCAGCAACAGCAGCAGCAGAGAAACTTGCCCATCCTTTTTCAACTATTCAACTAACACTCATTCATACATTCTTGATACAAAAACAATAAATGGCATAAATCTAAGTATGTTATAAACGAATGAAGACAATGTATAATACAAAGAGATGGCTTCAAGATACGTTTCTTGTTCATATGTATGCTATGTATGTATGTGCGTGTGTGTAGTTCGCATGTATGTATGCATATTTCATTGTATTTTTTCTTTTTCGTCAAAGCAAATCAAACTTTTTTTGATTTAAAGACACTGTGAGATAAACCAGATAAAAATATACAAAAAAAAACAAATATACAAACGAGCAAAACAAGACAAAACTACAATCAGTCAAACATTTTTATTTACAGGCAGCTCTGAACATAAGAATTGATTGACATCAAGTCATGCATATCATTATGACAGTGTGCGTATGTATGTACGTATGTATGTACGTATGTATGTATGTATGTATGTATGTATGTATGTATGTATGTATGTATGTATGTATGTATGTATGTATGTATGTATGTATGTATGTATGTATGTATGTATGTATGTATGTATGCATGTATGCATGTATGTATGTATGTATGTTTTAGTTACGGTTGCCAGGGCAATCTGTAAACATACATACATGCCTACGCCTACAAAATTTGTGTTGCCAAAATATAAAATAACCACTTTCATATTTTACACTGCAGCTACTGATCAAGCCGTAATTAATTATGACAGAAAAAATAATAGTTATAATTATAATTTAATGTATTATTTTAATGTATTATTATTCCTTGTGTGCATTGGCATGCAACAGACAACAAAACCGACAACAACAAAAATAGCAATAAAAACGTTAAAAAATTGAACAACAACAACAACAATTAAAGCCAAATTAACTAAATTAAAGTTCTCTTACAGCAAACAAAATCGCTGCAGAAACTTAACATGCAACACACTCAAGTGTATCGCAGACAAAAGTCATTTTATGACACGGCATCAACAACAGCAACAACAACATCACACTCTTACACTTCCACATTGACAACAAATACAACAACGAACAAAACACATTAACAAAAACGACAGTTGTGACAGCAACAACGACGTCATTAATTACAACAACTCCACAACAACAACAACAAAACCAGCAACAAAAAAGTCATTAATTACAACAACAAAAAAACAACGATAGCAACCACAACAACAACAACAATTACAACAGCAACAACAAAAGCAGCAACAACCACAACAACAACAATAGCAACCACAATGGGATCGTCAGCATCTATAGAAGGCAGCCAATTAGAAATGATGATAACATTATCAGAGGAACATGACAATTACAACGTCACGAAAGCGTCATCACACCAAGGTCGTCAACAACAAGACACTAGATCAAAAATATTGCGTAAAGCTCTCCGTAATAAAAATATCTCAGACGGGATTTTAAGGCGGTTAAAGGCGGCAGCTCTTGGTTGGTTGGTTGAATGGTTGGATGGTTAGTTTGATTGTTTTATGGTTTGTTTGTTGGTTGGTTGGTTGGTTGGTTGATTGATTGATTGATTGATTGATTGATTGATTGATTGATTGATTGATTGATTGATTGATTGATTGATTGATTGATTGATTGATTGATTGATTGATTGATTGATTGATTGATTGATTGATTGATTGATTGATTGATTGATTGATTGATTGATTGATTGATTGATTGATTGATTGATTGATTGATTGATTGATTGATTGATTGATTGATTGATTGATTGATTGATTGATTGATTGATTGATTGATTGATTGATTGATTGATTGATTGATTGATTGATTGATTGATTGATTGATTGA